ACAAAAGGACAAATACTGCATGATGCCACTGTTGTAAAACAGGACTGACCTTGGGGTTGAGGAGAGACTGAGAAAGATGGGTTCAATAATGTATACTTCATTGAAACAGATGAGGGAGAAAACTGTTTAAAAGGGATATGTGATTAGGTATTTTTGTCATGACAGGAGTCTAGAGCGAAGGCTGTATAGTGGAAAAGACATGGGGGGAGGGATTGTAAAACAATGAAAGAATTTTTCTTTTACTTTTCCAAGAGGGTAGTGTTCTGGAGGAGAGGGTTGGAAGGGGAGAAAAGTGCAAAAATGAATGAATGGAAATCCAAAGTTTCTGTAAATTTTAACTGAAATTAATAATAAGTTTAAATTGAAGAAAAAAGAAATGGGAAGCACAGGAAACTAATGAACATGATATTCTTACAATGTGGGGATTATAATAAATGTCATAAAATGTGTATGAATTTTTGGTTGAAAAATCAATTTACTCTGTGAATTTTTACACATATCACAATGAAATTTTTGATTCTATAAAAAAAAGGGGGTAACTTGGGATCAGTAGTGAGGAAAAATGTGTAATAATAAATGAATGAAAATCCAACTTTTCTGTAAATTTTCATTAAAATCACAATAAAAAACTTATCAATGCAGATATTCTTTCATCTAGCAGTTTTACTTCTAAACTTAATCCTAAAACAAATAGATCTACAAAACCCCCCCTAGATATAAGAATATTCACTGTAGTATTAAATAGCTAACAATTGGAAGAATCAATCTATATTTTCATGATAGGCAATCATTAAATATACTAATATAGAATCAACTCTATATAGGAATATCTTGGAACTGTTAAATGAGATAGCTTTACAAAGCAATATGACATCTTCCCAAGACGTGGTAGTGGTGGTAGTGTTATATGCCTTTGAGTCAGAACCAATTCATAGCTGACTCTCCAATGAATTTTTAGAGTCTGTAAATTGCACAAGAGACCTTCCATCTTTCTCTTGAGGAGCAGCTACTGGGTTTGCGCCTCCTGTCTTTAGGTCTGTAGTCAAACTCCGTATCTATCAGGCTATCAGATCTCCCTTTCAAAGACAGACTAAGAAGATAAAGTATTTCCCTACAAAAGTATACTGTATAAGTGGCCTATAAAAATTTTAAAAATTTAAAGAAATAGTGAGGAAACCTGTATCTTAGTAGATGTATTTCAAGAACATGAGATATCAAGTATATATGGTACAAAAATGACAATATACTGAATGAATGGAAATCCAAAATCTCCGTAAATGTTCATGAAAATTATTAAAATTTAAAAAAATGACAATATACCAAGGAGAAGACAAATCTTAAAAAAGGACATTATGCTTCAAAACTTAGAATCAGCAAGAGAGGAAAATACAAGATAAACTGATATATGACTACAACAACAGCCTTAAACAGCAAACACGAGGATGGCACAGGATCAAACAAGGTTTTGATCTATTTTACATAGGGCTGTTAAGTGAGCTGGATATAACTTGATGGCCTCTAAAAACAGAGATGTATTACGCAGAATCTCTCTCACATGCCTGTGTTTACTAGGAGGTAGCTTAATATTGGCATAGAGAATCAATCCTCCTACAATGTATAAAAATATATTCGTAGAAATACAAGCAGTGTAATGTACATAGTTCTGGATTCTTCATTCAAACACAAATTCTAAAAGATCTTTACACATGAGGTAATAATTATTATTAAAACTATGTTACCAAGAGACAAAAATAATAAAAAATGCAAACCAATTGTTATAAAATCTAGCTTCAAACTCAAACTTTTATTGATATAAAGAACAACAGTGATGGAGAAAGAAGTCTTGAAAAAACTTTGTTAGCAAATGTAAAGAATGAGGCTATTATTTATTTTTGAAGAGGAGCAACAGAAAAGGATGTGATGACCTAGAAAACTAATTACAACCTGACCCATTATACAAATTAGTCATCAATAGACAATAACACTTCTGTGAAATTTTATTAAGCAAAACCTCCCAAATAGATTTATCACTGTTGTGTATAAATATATATCCAAAACCAGCAATGTAATTGAGAGGTACTAATCTTTCATATAATATGCAACTGAATAGTTGCTTGAAAATGTGAAAAGCAATACAATGAATTCTGTCATCGAGCCAAGTGTTCATGAAAACACATGTGTCCACCAATTAACATTTAAAAATAATAGGTGTAGTGCAAGCAGCTAATACTGAGCTTGCTCTCCCACCATAAACTATAAAGGAGAGAATATATAACTATTTTCGGGCACTGACAAGACTGACAAGACTATGATCCTTGGAAAAGGGAAACACATTAGGTGAGTTTGCTTTTACCTCTCTCTGCAGAAGTTTATGCATTTGGGTAAAAAGACCAGCAATTGGGCTTTGGGAATTGAAATAAAGCAGCTTGAATTTAAGGAGGGAGGGTTACAAGAGGAGGAATATGCAGGGAAAGACACCATAAATCTTTGTAAGAAGTTCACTTGTCTTTGCTCAAATCCTAAATTATGTATTTGCAGGACAAGACTTCACTGGGCCAGGTAGTTGAAAGCTGCTGGGGGCTGAGAGTTGAACAGAGTTCAGAGGTTGTACAGAGTTCCACCATTAACCAAGACAAATTATTTCACCTCTGTGAATTTCCATTCTCATCTGTAAAATGGGAGTAATAATAATAGGATCTAATGTAACCAGTGCTATAAAGATTAAATGAACTAATGGCATTATACAACAATTATTGTTTAAAACAAAATGTGTATGAGGGATTGAAAAAAAAGAAAAATTTTTAAGTCATAAAAAAAGATTAAGTCTAGCATACAGTCATCATTTAAAAATTACAGTTTTTATTATTACTAATAAGGGGAAGAAAATTATCATCTTCTATGTGGAAATCAAGAACCAGCATCTTTTATTAAATGTAGAACATAGTTCAACCCTAAATGACAAATAATTTTTATATAGAAAAAGCTCATTTGTGTCATCATAAGGATCCTTTATAAGGATCAAAAGTTTTTCTTCCACATATGTAAAAACTAGTTGCTCTAAATTTAATAAATGACATCTTTAAAATATAGTACATATATATTACCTCAGGACAGTAATTTAATTCGGTATTAAAGATTTTTACTATGTACTTTTTTTACACACAGGAAATAGGGAAAAGATGGTACAATGGCTATTTAGACAGATGTCATCTAGACTCAGCAATTAACATTTTCCCAAATACTTCACATAAACACACATATTCATATTTGCTAAAACATTTAAAAAAGTATCAGTGATACTTTATTCCTAAATACTCAGGATACAAAGTTTCTAAACAATTCCCATTAAGTAAAATGCCCTGACTAAAGGTCATAAGATTAAACAGTAATTATCTAATACCATTTAAAAACCTAATCCATATTAAAATGTTCTCAGTGTCTTTTCATGTTTTTTGTCTTTCAAACTACATCCAATCAAAGGCACTACACTGCTGTATGACTTTAAAATCTCTAAAAACTGTTTTAACATGGATTAGTTACTTTCTACATTTTTTTTCTTTCATGACAATTTTTTTTTTAATGTGTACCATCAAATCGGATCTTACTGGTACATGAGGAGATTGCCCCACCTTCTCCAGCAGACATCTGGAGGATTTGAACTGCATACCTCTGGGAATGCAATGCAGCTTCTTGCTACTAGGCCATCAGAGCTCCCTGACAATGATTTATTTTTAAGACATGAGGAGAGTTATTCCACATTCTGAACTTATTTCTTTTTTTTTTTTTTAAATGTTCTTTCATTTTTATTTGGTTCCTTTGTTTTTCCTTTCCCCATGTTTTCTATCAATGCGAAATCCAATCTATAAACTCAAACTCACTGATGTGGAGTCACAAATGACTCATTCATGACCCTCCAGCAGATTTTTGGAGGCTATAAATCTCATGGGAAAAGACTGTCCATCTTTTTCTCTTGCAGCAGCTGGTGAATTCAAACTGCCAATGAGGCGTCTTGGGTTAGCAACTGTCCTACAGACAATGCTACCAGAGTCTGAACACATTCTTACACACTCAATCAACCTGCAAATACCTGGTGAGAAGACACTTTGGCATCACGTGAGTTGTACTGGGGGTGTGGAGCAATCTTTCCTCTATGAGTTTGGAAACCAAATTTCTTTAATATTGTTATCACATTACATTTTTAATTTTCTAAAACCCACAAAAGGTGTACAAAAAAAGGTGAGATTCGCTTCTTTAATTACTTACTCTCTTAATTTACTTTCTTTTCAATTAAGACTTACTTCTTAATTCAAATTTGAACACTTTCCTTCTTTTTTATGTTGTCTGAAACCCTGTAACAAAAAACAAAGCAGTATGAGCACAGATGCTTCACACAGATATTAAAAGTACTTTTTTTCACACATAAGCATCTCACCAGCTTTACAAGATTACTGTCAGAAAATGTGTGCTGCCTTCCAGTGTGCTTTAAAATGAATGCCACAGTAAAAGCTATTGTTGCTGTGTACCATAGAGTCAGAACCAACCCATAGCAGACCCTCTGGCAGGTTTTCAGAGGCAATTAATTGTACAGGAGGAGAATGTCCATCCTTCTCCTGCGGAGCAGCTGGTGGTGGCCTCAAACCATGTGCCTTTGGGACTGCAGTGCAGCTTCATTCCACTAGGCTATCAGAGCTCTCTAAAAGCTATTAGGCTGTAACTTAAAAATCTGTCTTCTTTCAGTAAATCTAAGGATGAAGTAAGCACACTTATGCCTATTTCCATCAAATAAAAAAATGACTTAAAATGACTTCTTATATATTTATTACTATAAAAGCATTAAGGACCATATGTACTTACTTTTTTTAAAAATTCAAAATGGTGAGGAGGTTTACGTGGAAAAATACTCAAATCCTTGTTACTTTTCCCTATCAGAACCAAGTCTCTAACTGCTATCCTTTCCTTCTGGCCAATGTCTTTTACTTTTCCTTATGTTAATAGGATTGCTATGAGTTTGAATTGACTCAAAGGCAAGAGATTTCATTTGGAGTTTTACATTTTAACACAGTGATTTTTAATGTAATTTCATTATTAATCTACACATAATCAGCTGTAAGATGGATTGAAAATTGTTACCCATAAGCACCAAAGTTATAATCTATTTTGTTTTTCAACATTAGTCTTCTTGTTCTTGTTATGTGCCATCAAGTCGAGTGACTCACAGTGACCCTAAGTAAAAACAGCTCTAAACCCTCCTCTATCCTGAGGCAACTTACTGTATCTGACAGAGGCACCTTTACTATCCCAGTCACTGAGTCAATCCATCTCATTAAAGGTCTTCCTCTCTTGCGTTGTCCACCATTTTAAGCATGATGTCCCTCTCCAAGGTCTGGTCCCTCCTTGCAAAAGTATGCCAAAGTATGTCAGATAAAGCTTCAGAATCCTTGCCTCCAAGGAGCATCCTGGTTTCTTTCACCTTCTTTAGGATGAATCTGTTTGTTCTCCTAGCAGTCCATGGTATATTAAATATTCTTCTCCAGAACCACAGCTCAAAGACATCAATTCTTTCTTGTTTGTTTTTTATTTCTTTTTAATTTTATGAATGTTTACAGAAATTTTGGATTTCCATATATTCACTGTTGCATTTTTCTCCCTGCCCACCCCTCCCCGCAGTTGGCACTCCTCTTTGAAAAGTAAAAGAAAAATTATTTCATTGGTACAGAACTCCCCCCCACCCCCGCCCCTGCCCCAAGTATACTCCACTATGCAACCTTCATTCTGGACTCTTATCATAACCATAATACCCAATCATATATTGCTTTCAAATAGTTCTCTCCCTCATCTATTTCAATGCAATATACATACTTTATCCAATTTTTCTGTCTCACCCCAACCCTAATGTCAGCCCCGTTCTACAATAGTGGCACCATGCAACATCTGTCCTTTTGTGACAGATATTTCACTCAGCATAATGTCCTCCAAGGTAACCCATTTTGAATAATATTGCATGAGTTCCTTGTTTTTCAATGCTGCATAGTATTCCATTGTGTGAATATACCAGAGCTTCTCTATCCATTCGTTTGCTGATGGGCACTTAGGTTGTTTCCAACTCTATGCTATTGTGAACAAAGCCGCAATAAACATGGGTGTGTATATATCTGCTTGGGCGGCAGTTATGGTTTCTTTAGGGTATATTTTCAGTAGTGGAACCACTGGGTCAAATGGTATCTCTATTTGCAACTTTTTGAGAAAGCACCACACCATGTTCCACAGTGGTTGCACCATTTTACACTCCCACCAATAATGAATAAGGGTCCCAGTTTCTCCACACCTCGCCAGCATTTGTTGTTCACATCAATTCACTTTCCATCATCCCTAGTCATTGTCCAGCTTTCTGATACACAGTAAGTAACTACAGAGACCACTGCCTGGATCAGGTGCACCTTACTCTCCAGACTGAAATTGTTGTTCTTCAATACTCTGGAAAGGTCCCTGACAGCAAGACTTTCCTAATGCAATTTTTCTTTTGATTTCCTGGCTACTGGTACCAAGAGTGTTGATTGTGGAGCCAAGAAAACTGAAGCTGTTAATAATCTCAATCTCTTCACCATCTATCATGATGCTGCCAATCGGCCCAGTGATGAAAATCTTTGTTTTGATTTTATGTCACTTAAATTCCAGTTGGGTTTTGTGCATTTATAAAACTGACATATATAGCAAATATCTGTCACTTAAACATTTCTTTTATGTGTACAAGTCAGTGATATCAATAACATTTATCATGTGTGTAATCATAACCACTACACACACCAGCAGCTCCACAGGAGAACTCCTCCCATGTGATTTACTACCGCTGAAAACCTGCCCCAGAGGGTCAGCAATGGGTTGATTTTAACTCAAGGGTACTCAACACCAACAATGACTGCACTAGAACGCAGAGAAGCCAAAACAAAGGGAAGAAATGACAAAGTAAAAGAGTTGGACAATTTAAAAGGATCGCTCCAGAAGACAAAGCAAAGGATTATAGCAAAATACACAGAGTTGAAGTCCGAAAATCAAAAGGGAAGCACTCACTTGGTATTTCTCAACCTGAGTCTTAAAAAACAAATTTAAAGAGGAGCTCTGTTGGCCTAGTGGCAAGAAGCTACACTACAATCCCAGAGGTGAATGGTTCGAATCCACCAGATGCTCTGCCAGGGAAGGAGTAACAATCTCCTCCTGTACCAGTCAGATCCGATTTGACGGTACACACACAAAAATAATAAAATTAAAAATAAAACAAAACAAATTTAAGTCTCAAGTTGCAATACTGAAAGATAATGAGGAAATTCTGAATGATCTAGCAATCATCAAAAGATGGAAGGAATACACAGAGTCATTAAACCAAAAAGAACCGGTATGAAATAATTTCAGAAGTAGCATATGATCAATCAAGAACAAAAGGTAATAAAGGATGAAGCTCAAATTGCACTGAGGACACTGGCAAAAAATAAGGCCCAGGAAATGACATATTCCAATAAAAAGATGCAGCCCTAGACATGCTTACCAGATGGTTCCAAGAAATGCAGAGGATAGTTACTTGGCCAATTGACTGGAAGAGATCCACGCTTATTCCCATTCCTAAGAAAGGTGATCCAGCAGAATGTGGAAATGATCAAACATTATCATTAATATCACAAAATCGTAACAAAATGTAAACAAAATCGTCCTGAAGATTATCCAAAAAGGGCTACAACAGTTGACAGAGAACTGCCAGAAATACAAGGCATATTTAGAAGAGGTCATAGTACCACGGATTTCTTTGCTAAGGTCAGATGGATCTTGGCTGAAAACAGAGAGTACCAGCAGGATGTTAATTTGTGTTTTATCAACTATGAAAAAGTATGTGACTATGTGGATCACAACAAATTATGGCTAACATTGAGAAGAATGGGAATCCAAGAACATTTAATTATGCTCATATGAAAACATATACCTAGACCAAGAAATTGTTGTCTGAACACAGCAAGAGAGCACTTCTTGGTTCAAAATCATGGAAGGTCTATGTTAAGGATGTTTTCCTTCTCTATGTCTTTTCACTCTATATGCTAAAACAGATAATTTGAGAAGCTGGACTTTACATTCCCTCAAGACAGGAAGAAGCCTCAACAACAACCTGCATTATGGGTATGACTCAACTGTGTTCATCAAAAGTGATAAGGACTTAAAGTGCTTGTGGCAGAAGATCCAAGACTACAGCCTTCAACATGGATTACATTTCAACATCAAGAAAGCACAAATCATCACCATGGGGCCACAAATGGGCATCATGATTGTTGTTGCTGATTGCCATCAAGTCAAGTACAATTCATAGATACTCTATGAACAAAACATCTAATGCCTTTCCATAACTACCATTGTTTCTCCAGTTCATAGAGATTCCAGAGGCATATTGTTTAGGAAGTAGATGTCTGCTTTCCAAACCTGCTTGACAGCTGGGAGCTCTACCAAACACTGTCCACACTGGAAAACCATTATGGTATTTGATACCCCAGTGGCACAATGTACAACAACACAGCAAACCCAGGTTACTTCAGCACATTGAGAAAGAGTGATGTACAAAGTGGAAGAGTGTTCCTCCAGATATAACAGCACTAGTCTCATCTGCAACTCAAAGGCACTTAAAAACAACAACAACAACAAGTCTCATTTAGCAGTAGTTATGTATCATCAAGTCGAATATGACTCAGTTAGGCTTTGCACAAAAGACTTGAACTCTGTTCTATAACAATTTCTGTACATTTATAGTTTAGAGAGTTTGTAGAGTTCCCAGAGGCATCTAGTTTAGGAAGTGAATTCCACTCCTGGGTCCCAGTATGAATCAATCTGGAAGCTCGTCCAAACACTGTACATAATGTAACCACCATGGTATTTGACAAGGCTATGGAACAGTGTTTGGCATCACACCAACTCCAAGTTGTTTAGTACAGCAAAAAGACAAATGACTGCTGTGTCATTTAAAGAATATTCATTCAAAAATTAATAAAGCCATACCCTCTAGCAGACCTCTACCCTTGGTCAAAGGCTCAAGGAATACCCTCTATTGGGGGGAAAAAGAACAGTAACACACATCAAAGACGACCCAAAAAAAACTTCCCTTACGTGACTGCCATCAAGACATGACCGCCGTCAAGATTCTAGCTAGCAGACAGATGGAGAAAAGATTAATGTTTTCAGTGATTTCATCTTACTTGGATTATTAACCTTGGTACCAGGGGTCACAAAACAAAGAGTTTGTAAAAAGAGCAAAGGTCACATGGAGACAGTCATATCTGACTTTTGCCAAGTTCACAAAGGGGAACTGTCCCCATCCACA